GATGCGTCTCAACTAGTCATTTTTATATCCTAATTCGAATTACGGTCACATTTTCCAGTTCACACAACAGGCTCATCACTTTTACTAGACGTCTGTCCTGCATTATACAGTCATAGTAATTGTTAAGAAAGGGTAGTTATCCTTGATGAGTTAGGACAGAGGCTGGGCTAAACTTACTGGTTTCGTGCCCTTGCATGCACACAACTACACATACGCACGTTTCCAGATTGGCATATGTCGTGAACTGACCAATGCATTGTAGTATTCAAAAGATTCAGAGGTTTATAGTGCATATACAGTTCTAGGAATAAGCCGGTAAGTCTTCTTAACTATAAGACTTAGATTGGTTGTACAAATGATGCCATACTTTGATTATGTCTGCTATGTAAGAGAAGAAAGCTTAGCACGGTTGCCATACGAAGATAAACTGGATTATGCTTAATCTCCTGTGATAATACTGTTATTGGTGATATTCATTTTGTGTAAAATAGTCTTATGAACGGACTTGTAGGTTAATATCACCAGAAGACGACGGGTGACTAGCGTTGTTCCGCATTCCGTTGATTTTACTATAACGTTCAGGTTGACGCAGTCTGCGAGACATCCTTCCTCGTTTCGGGTGGAAACAGGCTGAGCTTTCATTTGTCATATGATGGACATCGTCAAAACTGAAACTAATTCCTGAAAAAGCTTTTAGTTAATATTAAGTGTACGATATAGGCATGTATGAAAGTAGGGGGGGGACTTTCATTTCGTATGAAAGTGCATACGAAGAGATTCGTAGGTCGATCTCACCAGAAGTTGACAAATGAATCCCGTTGTACTGCAGCCGGGATTCATCCGTCCTCTTCTAGTGAGATCGACCTACGAATCTCTTCTTCGTGCACTTTCATACGAAACAAAAGCCCCCCCAAACCCCCAACAGTGTTATATCAGGAAAATCGTCGAAATCCATTTTTTCTTCGTATCTACAATGTAGGAGAGTAGTCTTTAAGACTTATTTTCAAATTGATGCCTTTTCAATAATGGGATCCAGCTTCAAAGATGTCCTGTAAGATGACGGATGAAAGCTCAGTCCGTTATAACCTTATCTAAGGGAGGATGCCTCGGGGACTGCGCCAACCTGAACGTCGTAGGAAAATCAAAAGACTTCAGAACAACACGAATCAGCCGTCGTTTTCTAGAGAGATCGATCTATTAATCTCTTTATTAGGCACTTTCATATGAAATGAAATTCACAATAACAATGTTAGCATGTTTTTACCAAAATCGAAAGAGATTGCCTCGGTAAAGCCATCGACTAGAATGTTCCAATAAAGCCAGCCGACTGAGGCCAACAAAAATCTGGTAAGTTTGACCTTCCAATCTTTTCATTAGAAATTTTTACTTGAAATGGGACTGAGCTCAACACATGGGCTATTGACATGACCAAAAGAAAGGATTTGTCGAATAATGTTGTATTGCAGCGGGTATTAGAGCATAGTGGTACGGCACAACCAATGCATTCCGTGGTACAGGAACGCCCAGTTAGAGAGAGCCAGTCAGCCTTCTCATAACTTTTGCTGTCTACAAGCCAGTTTGCACTATGCTGCATCAATAAGAGCTGGGTTTCGAAGAATCCTTTAATAAATTCACCTCAAAGAAAAGGTAAAGTGACTTCATCGGAAGTCTAAAGCTTAGATTGATGCGATACGGCCTTGGGGTCTGCCAGAGTGAGGCTGGAAGGGCGGAACCAAAATAATCGTCGTAAGGGCTCTCTACAGCCTCATAACTAAAAAAATGGACCG